TAAATCACAACGTTTGATACACCGGTTATAGCTTCCCAACTGCTGTTGGGATTATTAGGTTTAAACTATATAGTTAGATAAACCAAAGTAGTTGTTTATTATATATTATACATTATTCTCGTATTGAATGTAATGACAAAACCTTCCCAACTGCTCCAAAATTGTGTTAACGTTTAGAAATTCGAAAATTGAAGACGGCTGAGAAGCTGGCACTTTGTGGAATGACAAATGGACTATGATACAGCTAAGTTTAAGAATAACTATAGATAAGGTCAATGGCTGAATGCATTATTGTTTTGAGATGAGAACATGGAAATATTCCTTGAATTCGTGACAGATAAACATTTAGGCGCAGCCTTGAAGGCGATATATATATTTCTTTTATGAAATATTAAATGAGGTAGCAGAGACTGTGGGCATGGAGAAGCACACCATATGTTACTGGTTAAGTTAATTTGTCTGTTGAAAGGTAAGGGGTATTAGACCAATATATGCCCTCTGACATCAATGTGTGGATTCCAATACAATGTAAAGTTGGGATCCCAACTAAAAGCTTAAGCTTATAGGTGAGATGATTCGAACTTGAGAACTTAGAATATAATAACATATTAAGTTACCATCTCACCTAAAAGCTTAAGCTTGTAGATGATGGCTCAACATATATTAGATTGATAGTATCCATAAAGAATCATTGAGCAAATCGATGCCTATGACAAACTCTTTTATCTAATAGACTCTTATAATCAAGTAGATGTTGTCGGTTTTGGGTTCACACCCGAATTTACTTTTAAACTTCACGCGAGAGACTACTTTCGCTAGCAATGTGAATGTGACAACAACTTTTCATTTCCTTATCACAAATACATTAATGAAAACTTTTTTATCTCCATGATATTTGGCTAAACCTCTGCAATTGTATCTGAAATTAATTATCTCTGAGTTTTATCCAAAAGAAACTTATTATAATCACACATACTGATCATGGCCTGCACTCTTCTCTGCAATAACTCAGGCTGTGTTTTCTACATATTCACATTGGCACCCACATGATGTTGTTGTTCTCTAGAGTTTCATATGATCCCAAAACTAGGTTAAATCTCTGCAACCTGTTTCAAGATAATGGATAAAGCAATGGATGTACGTACGTGGCTTCACATTCATTTGTTTTGGGAGGCGCATAAAGTCTTTTGATCTTTCATAGATCTTCTCTTGATATGTGCTATGCATGTTCTCTTATGGTATGAATTGTCTTCTTGTATCTTCAAGTTGGATTATTTATTGCTTGACCAAGATCTCTTATTCTTAATTGGATTGCTTTTGTTTATGCCATTTGCAACTAGAAGCTCTTATTACCACAAAAGAGCAGAGGGATTCAATATGGATTCTAGAATTCGAGTCCTCTTAGGCACTAATAGAGGTGACCATTAAGAATATTTATCCGATCGTTCACTTTAAGGTTCGAAAGATTAATTGAAGGACGTGCAAATTAGTCCAGACACCCCGGTCAACCAAAAAAAACAAAAATTGAAGCTCTTATAATTAGAAGTTTGCTGCACATTTTCTTTTTGGGCTTCATGACATTTGAAATTCTTTTGGGCTTTTCCAACTTCTAAGATTTGGGAAGAGTTGAATAGATGGGCCTATCATTAAAGTTTGGCCCAATTAAAGCCTTTTTGTACTTTGGGTGGTGCTTATTACTGCTTAATGGTTGCCTACTTAATTGTTGAACAACCCCATTTCTATGTTTAATTAAGAGTTAAACCACTTTAAAAAAATAAAAAATAAAAAAATTGTGTATTCAAATAGATATCATATATCCATATAAATTTTTTTCATAAAATACAGACTATGTCATTAGTCGTCACTATCATCAATGAGAAAACCTTTAAACTTGTTATCCAGGAACTTGTTCAAAAATACTGTAAAGAGCAGAACATATGTGTTTGTCACTAGGTATTTGACTAAATAGGAGCGTCCGGTTCTTATAAAACCTATCACTAAATAGAAACAATAACAAGCACTAAACACATAACATTTTACAATTGTTTGATAAAAGAAAAAAAAAATTGAAATTAAAATTTTGTCATTTAAGATTAACCGATTACTATGATATATAAAAGATCTTTCGAGTTAAAAAAACTAAAAATAAAACTGTGAAAACAATGGATCTGAAGCAGATAATATTTTGCTTGATATAAGATCATTCATTTAATATTTGTCATTAGACTATAGTTTGAAATCCAAATACGAGGTTGTTGAATGTGGCAATAAACAAATTTCACTTTCAATGATCTACCTATAACTAGAAAATTTTAAGTTGGACCTATATATTCATAGAGAGTGTATTATATTTGAACAAGTAATTAATATAGAGATCGTTATAAGAATCCACAAAGTAGCAACTAGTTCATTGAACTTGTGGGCTGCTAATGAAATAGAGTTTGAACAGATTTCGTATAAGCTTTGAGTTTCTTAATCAAGTAGATACGTTCTACATGAAAAATAGTTGTGCGAAGCTAAAAAACAAACCCTCCCAACACATTGACAATGCTTCTTCATAAAACTCTTAATGAGAGAGATGTTATGTGAAAGGAAAGTGCAAGAGTCGTTTTTTATAGTCGATGATGAAGAAGAGATTAGACTATCCCTACACAAACTAGTCGGGAGCTGGAACATGATGTAGAACTAATAAGATGACTGAACAATTAAGAAATAATGGATACGAAAAAACCACCACTGAATGTATCAAGTTCGAATATTAGATTGAATAAGCAATCACAAAAAGGTTCTTGAACTTTTATTAATAAAAATAATAAAAAAAAACTGTCCTATTATGGCTATAATAGTCTTTTTATAGTTTGCCCTAATCAAAAAACAAAGAAAAAGAACATTAAACAAACTATCAAAGAGGTCCCAAAACATTCAAAGGTTCAAGGAACCCAAAAACTCTAGAAGTTTGGAAACACACCCCTAAAAACATAAAAAAAGGCCTAAAAACTCATCTAAACGGTTCCGAAAGGCTAAAAAAATGACAAAACTCATATCACAAGCCTAACTTATCAGACTGTTTCAGAGAACCACGCCAAAATTCGTCGCATTCTGATATCGTTGACACTATTTATCACTATTCATATGACACTATTTATCACTGTTCATTACTACATCAGATCCATTTCCTTGATGAGTCCATGACATGATAAAATCAGTAGACCTCAAGCCGATCAAGGGTATATGTGTAGGTGTACCCTCTCTTAAGTATGATATTTGGGGTGTCACATGAACTTTCATCAAAACTCTAGACCCGTGACAAATGGCCAAACTAAAAATAAATGATATTTGTTTAGTTGGTATAAGTTTGTTTATTCTTATTGGTCGACATATAAATGTGTAATTCAATAAAAAAATTCTTGAAATTAACTATTCATTCACATTATTAAACTAAACAATAATAAATTATTGAAATGGCATTTAATTAAATTACACCCCAACCAAATAAAGCATGGTGGAACACGTTTTAGTTGGAATTTTAATGAGTTGGTTAATATGCATCAATCAAATATTAAATTTCAATTGATTTTGTCTTTAAACTAAAATGATATAATTGCCAACTATAATCTGAGCTGTTTCCTTTGCAAAATCTGACTTGGCTACACCTATTTTAATCCATTTCCATGTCACATCCACGTCTTCATATCTTTTAAATGCAAATTACATTTTTACCCCTATAGTGGCACTTGCAATTTTCAAACCGAGATGGCAAAGTTAACATGCGATTTTTTTTTTTTTTTTTTGTGGTATTGGGATATTCAGATCAGTTTACGCGTATTTTGATTAATCTTTCAGGGCTTGAAGTTAATAGCAGGTGAACCTCTAATCATTATCCTTTATTGTAGTCATGAGAATTCAAACTTATGATCTTTTGAGCAATACACAGTTTCAAATGAACCGTCAAACTATCCAGAGATAATTAATAAAAGAAGTTTGGTAAGCCAGATGGGTAAAAATGTAACTAATTATATCTTTGCCTGCTTCGCAATAAAAAAGCGATATCACACATCACAATTCACACATTTTGTGATGTCATGTACCCGAGCTCACGTGGCTTTGCGTATCTCACCATCAGATTTATCAGGTAATGATGATCAGCATGATCGGCGCTTTTCATCATTTTTGGAAAGCCGCTTTGCTTTGTTTGCTTCAAAATGAAGATATTTTCTCGAGATTTAATCCAGTATTTCGCCTCACACACAAACATGATGCTCCTGCAATAAATAAATTTGATGAAATTGAAAAGTTCACATTATACTAGTCAAACTGTTTATTACAATAATTTATGCCATCGTTTAATATAACAATTTATATTAGTTAACTCACAATAAATAAATAGATACATATATTAAATGAGATTTATTTATTATTATAATTATAAATATCACGTAAAAATTATTAACCTTAAACCCTAAACCTGAATCCGATCAGCGAACATCAAAACACGTGTACAGATGTACTCTTTTATGCAATGCATCGGGATTAAACTGCGTCTGTTTACGAATTTTTTTTCAAACTTTGTTAACTTTATATGGAGGCTGGTGCCGACAAAAATGACTGGAAGGGGCCCAGTCTGTCACGACGGCCGTGATTCAACATCACTGTTGGTGAGTTCACATGCGAGATTACGAGGATAAAAAGTTATTAAGTAAAGACAACAACGAAATAATCAGTTGATTCCCCATATTGTTAGATATTTAATTCACGCAAAACGAGGAATCCCTCTTTGCAATTTACGCATTTCCAACTCCTGAAATTGTTAACTCTCCACTTCTTTCGTCTCCATAAATACCCCCCTCAGGCCGGCCTCAGTTTAATCAATTCCTTGACACTCTTCGCTGCCCTCAACGCATTGTGTGTTTGTTTCCAGTGTTTTTGGTGCAAAGACTGTGGGGGCTGGCATTAGTGTGAGCGAGGGGGAGTTGACGGTAAGGGGAGCTCTGTTTTGACAAATGTTAAAGAAACATTGTTGTAACTCGGCCACCGGTGGTGCATTGGTCGATGGAGCTTTATTGGTGTTGTTTCTGATCAGATTGGCAGCCGCCGAGTCTTCCCGTTGAAACTTGAGTACGTTTTTTTTTTTTTTTTTTTTTTTTTTTTTTTTTTTTTTTTTTTTTTTTTTTTTTTGGTAGTTTGATTGTTTTGTGTTATAAATTTGGGATTTTGTGATGGAGGAAAGGGTCAAATTTTGATGCAGAAACTTATGAGTCTTTATGGTTTTGCAGGGGATTGCGGTTCATGTGTGTGTTTCGGTTCAAAATGTGGTGGATGACTCAGAGAATGGGAAATTGTGGCCAAGATATTCCGTTTGAGACTCAGTTTTTGATTGTGGAAGCACGAGAGGGGTCTCACTTCGACAATGGAAGTGAAATCGGAGAGCAAAACTCGGCGTTATACACCGTGTTCTTGCCCATTCTTGAAGGAGATTTCAGGGCTGTGCTTCAAGGGAATGAACAAAACGAGTTGGAGATTTGTTTGGAGAGTGGTAATTTACGTGATCATTCATCTTAATTTGATTTTGATTGTTTAAGCTCATTTTGTTTTCTTGTTACTGAGTTTAGGGAGTTTCTTGTGTATTGTAGGGGATCCTGCTGTTGATGGATTTGACGGAAGTCATTTGGTTTTTGTGGCTGCCGGATCCGACCCGTTTGATGTCATTACAAATGCAGTGAAGTAGGTTTTAACTCATGAAATTTACTGACAATTATGCATTATGTTAGAGGGATTAAATGATTGACAAAGTGGTGTTTTGATTGATATACAGGACTGTTGAGAGACATCTTCAAACATTTTCCCATCGGGAGAGAAAGAAGGTATATATATATTCTGTTTCAGGATTTATAGTTTTGGCATCATCCATTTGCATAGTGTTTAATATCATGGTTCTTTGTGGTTCAGATGCCAGACATGTTGAACTGGTTTGGGTGGTGCACTTGGGACGCCTTCTACACCGATGTCACCTCAGAGGGTGTTAAGCAAGGACTAGAGTGGTATTGATCTTGCCGATATGGATCACAGATGCTTCTTAAAATATGTAGTTCAAGCGTATTTAATTTGGGAACTATTGATTCTTGCAGCTTAGAGAAGGGTGGAATTCCTCCAAAGTTTGTTATAATCGACGATGGGTGGCAATCCGTTGCAATGGATCCCGCTGGTTTGGAATTCATAGCTGATAACACTGCCAAGTAAGCCCAAAAACAAATTTAGGATCTGTTAATATTATCACTTCTATTTCATTAGTTAACAGTCTTTAAAATTGTGCTGTTTGCCTTCAGCTTCGCGAACAGGTTGACACATATAAAAGAGAATCACAAATTTCAGAAAGACGGCAAGGAGGGTCAGAGAGTAGAGGACCCAGCTTTAGGACTGCGCCACATTGTCTCTGAAATAAAAGATAAACATGATTTGAAGTATGTTTATGTGTGGCATGCAATAACAGGCTACTGGGGAGGTGTTAGACCCGGAGTTACCGAAATGGAACACTATGAATCCGAGATGGCGTACCCTATTTCGTCTCCCGGGGTTCAGTGTAATGAGCCTTGTGACGCTTTGAACAGCATCACAAAAAATGGTCTCGGCCTTGTGAATCCAGAAAAAGTTTTCAATTTCTATAATGAACTTCACTCGTATCTGGCATCAGCTGGAATTGATGGTGTCAAAGTTGATGTTCAGAATATACTTGAAACCCTTGGAGCAGGCCATGGTGGAAGAGTGAAACTTGCTCGAAAATACCATCAAGCACTCGAGGCATCTATCGCCAGAAACTTCCGCAACAATGATATTATTTCTTGTATGAGTCACAACACTGATGGTTTGTACAGGTAAGTTATATTTTATGGCACTAGTTTCTCGGCGAAATTATTAAGGTAAAGGATTTATAATGAACTCTAATTTATGTATGCAGTGTCAAGCGAACAGCTGTTATAAGGGCATCAGATGATTTCTTTCCAAGAGATCCAGCATCTCACACAATTCACATTGCATCGGTGGCCTACAACACGATTTTCCTTGGTGAATTTATGCAGCCCGATTGGGATATGTTTCATGTAAGCTAACAAGTTTTGATTTTGATTTTGATATATTGGTGGGACTGCCTCGAGTTTTTAAGCTTGATTTGTTTAGTCTATGGATGATAATCTTGAAATGAATCTTATGACAGAGCCTACACCCAATGGCTGAATACCATGGAGCATCTCGTGCGGTAGGAGGATGTGCCATTTATGTCAGGTACAATTTCTGAATGATGGATTTATGTACTGATTCTTGCTTGCCTTAAGTCGTATGAATGTTTACTTATTGACATCTATGTCTTGCAGTGACAAGCCTGGACAACATGACTTTAATCTACTGAAGAAGCTTGTACTTCCTGATGGTTCCATATTGAGAGCCAAACTTCCAGGAAGACCGACTAGGGATTGCTTGTTCTCTGATCCTACTAGAGATGGAAAAAGGTAACAAAATAAAGGATTAAATATACAAATTACTGGTTTTGGGATGCCTTGTTCATTACTGAAGTATATTTATTAATCTTCTCTTGAACTTGCAGTCTTTTAAAGATATGGAACCTGAATGATTTCACCGGGGTCATGGGGGTCTTCAACTGCCAAGGAGCTGGATGGTGTAGGGTTGGAAAGAAGAACCTTATCCACGATGAACAACCTGGCACTGTATCAGGATATATTAGAGCAAAAGATGTTGATTATCTACCCAGAGTTGCTGGTGCTGAATGGACAGGCGATGCAGTCTTATATTCCCATCTTGGTGGTATGTTTTGCTTACATCTTTACTTTGATACATTCTAACCCAGTTAGTTTCCTAATAAATTTGTTCTGTTGCAAACAAATTACAGGAGAGGTAGTGTATCTTCCAAAGAATGCATCAATGCCAATCACACTGCAGTCGCGAGAATATGAAGTTTTCACGGTGGTTCCTGTGAAGGAATTGTCGACTGGAACTACATTCGCACCCATTGGACTAATCAAGATGTTCAACTCCGGTGGAGCCATTAAGGAGTTGAAATATGAATCCGAGGGAAGTGCAACAGTTGGCATGAAAGTTCGCGGATGTGGCCTGTTTGGAGCATACTCATCGTCGCGACCACAGAGAATCGTGATCGATGCAGAGGAAGTTCAGTTTGGATATGATGAACAATGTGGTCTGGTCACTCTCTCTTTGAGAGTTCCAAAGGAAGAATTGTACCTGTGGAACATAACCATTGAGCTATGAGGACTTAAAACACCAACAACACAATTAAGGAGATGCCGAAGATAGCTATTTGTTTCTCTGCAAGCTTCCTGTTCTTTCATCATGAAATGGCTTTAGCAGCCATAAGTTCATAGTGTCCTCGTAGTTGTTTGTAGAATAACAACTGTAACCAATTATTCAAGGAAATGATAAAATCTTAATGTTGGTTACAGTTGAAATTGTTTTACCTTGATATGCTTCAATTAAAATTTTGATGTGGTAGCATACTCGGTTAAACGGGTGATTTTCTCACCTGCTATGGATGCCATACTACCCTAAACCGAAAATCCGTAATCCCAATTGCAAAATTTTTGATAGGGGATGTTTGGAGACAGGGTTCTAAAGTTAACGAAGAGATAAATTTTATCATTTCTATTGACAATCAATCTGAAATGACTAATTTTTTAAGGTTCTAAAGTTAACGATTAGATAAATCTTTATTATTTTTATTGACAATCAAATCAAAGAAAATTGAACTTAAGATCTTTATCTTATCATCCCACTTACCTGTTTCGAGATGATTTATTTAATTCTTGTTTATTCAATAATTCATGTATTTATATAGATTTTCAGTAAATACATAAATTATTTAATTAAATACCCATAAACTTCAGTTTTACATGTTGAAGATATGATTGGTAGGTAAAGCGCTGTCGTTTAATGTTATGCAGCTGAAATACCTTCTTCTCAAATTGAATAAACCTCACTAAACCCCGAGTATCAACAGAGAAGAGCTATCATCTTCGTCGTCGTCATCATCATAATGTTTCAAAGCAGAGGAATCTTATCAATTCTTAAGAGAAACAAAGCTTCTCTAAATACCATCGTATCCAACCTAAAAGAAACGAGCTCGTTTAGAGCTGCTCTCTCTTCTTCACCATCATCATCTACACTTGCAAGGAGTTCCCTTTATGGCTTCAGATCTCTCTATAAGGTTCTCCCTTTGTTTTCCTCATTTTCTTACCAAGATTCAAATTTTATTTTTTGGGTATCTCTATTTTTGCCTTGTTTCTTTGATCATGTTAAAAAGATTTCATCTTTCCAATTTGTGGGTATTTTTAAGGGAGTAATGTTCATCTGTTATCTTAGGGCTAGATTGACATTGTAAAAGTTGCTCATTTACATGCTTTATATGATCAGCTGGTTGATTTGATGTAGAGTTAATATGTAAAATGGGATTATAAGGAAATTATATTGTTGGTCTTAGGTTACTTATGTGCCATCTACGAGGAGCATGTCCACTGCTGCAGCTGTGGGCGTTGAAGCCAAGGAGGGATTGAAGCTACTTGTAACTGGAGGTCCTCGAGCTCAGAAAATGGTTGGGATATGGCTTTTTGGCTCTGCTGCTTGGGTGTTTAGTATGGTGGTGCTTGGTGGCATCACTCGACTAACACGATCTGGTCTTTCAATGACTGACTGGAAATTCACTGGTGGCCTCCCTCCTCTATCAGATGAGGAATGGTTGCAGGAGTTTGAGAAATATAAGCAGTCACCTGAATATAAGCGGTAAGTGTCAAGTATAGTACATTTTGGATTTTTGTAAGCATTTGAATTCTCTGCGAGCTTGTGGTTAGAAATTAAAATTTAGTTTCTGTTATAACTCCTGTAGGAACTGCTAAATGTTTTAAAGTTACATAATCCATTGTAGTTACTCATTGAACAAGATACCTTTGTAAGCATTTTAATTTTGGCTGTGTTTTCTTTGGTATATATCATATGTTTGTTGCATTTGTTCCATGGGATGAGTTTACACCGTCGAAGTTACTACATTGTAGATTGGAGGAATTACTGTGTAAAATTTAGTGATGTTGCTTGTTTTTTGACCTCTGGCAGTGTAAACAAAGGGATGAGTATTGAAGATTTCAAATTTATTTATTGGATGGAATATGTGCACCGTATGTGGGGAAGGGGATTGGGTATCATTTTTGCTCTGCCATTTTCATATTTTCTTCGTAAGGGATATATTACCTTACGACTTGGACTGAGACTGTCTACTCTTTTTGCCCTTGGTGCTGGTCAGGGACTAATTGGGTGGTGGATGGTTAAAAGTGGTTTGGAGGTGAGAAGCTGTTCTATTTGTTCTTCCTTTATCTACTCTACGATTTCTTTTCCTTTTAAGTTTACATTCTGGTTTTTCAAAAGTATTTTAAACCTTGAATATTGTCATTTGTAGGAGCCACCCTCTGAATATTCTCAGCCTAGAGTGAGCCCTTACCGTCTTGCAGCCCATCTTACTTCTGCATTTGTCATCTACAGTGGCCTCTTTTGGACTGCTCTTTCTGTTGTTATGCCTGAACCACCTGCAGAATCAGTTGCCTGGGTTCATGGGGCAGCAAAAGTGAAAAAACTTGCCCTTCCTGTGAGCATCATCGTAGGCATCACAGCTGTCTCAGGAGCTTTTGTTGCAGGAAATGATGCTGTATGTTACTATAATCGGTTGTCTTTTTTTTCTGATCTTTTGTATGAATCTAGTAAATAGAATAAATTTCCTGCTTAGAAACAACTGAAAATTATGCTTCTGTGGTCATTTTCCAGGGCCGTGCTTTTAATACTTTTCCAAAGATGGGGGATACATGGATTCCTGATGACGTGCTTGATATGAAGCCACTTATTCGCAACTTCTTTGAAAATACATCTACTGTTCAGGTAATTCTTTTTGCTAAGATTTCATATTATTTTTTAGCAATTGAATTTCTTGACTTTGTTGATATTTGTATCAATTGCTATTTGCTGAGGCTGAGTTGATTTGGCAGAAATGGGAATTGAACTAAAATTACATTTGGGAGGGGGAAAAAAAGGGAAGAGTATCTCACTTAAAACCTCTACTTGCCGCATAAACATCTACATGAAGGAAAAAAAATTCATTTTAGTGCTGCTTGTCATCTTCTTTAGTTTTTTGCCTGGAGAAACTGTCAACTCAATCTATTACACAAATTGTTCAAAGCCGGCCTTTAAAGAAGAAATGTGCCTTTATTAAATACTGCAATATGCTTATACAAGAAATCACTTTAATACATGTTTATATAATCGTAAATTTTGAGATACTAGACTTGCTTTTTAGATATTGAAAATTTCGTAGATGATAACCCAGAACATGAGATGAAAATTTTCATCACTACCACTTTGATTATGATGAACAACACTATTCATTTTTAATATGTACAGCTTGACCACCGTATCCTTGCCACAACCTCCTTATTTGCAATTAGTGCTTTATGGTTGTCAACAAGAAAGCTGGATATACATCCTGCTGTCAAATCTTTGATTGGAACCACATTTGGCATGGCTGCTCTTCAGGTGATTGTTCAGTCTCTCTTTACACTTGTTTATCAAATGCCTTCGTGATTCTATTATTTCACAAGCAGAAACTTTTTATTCTAAATTAAACCAGGACGTGTTTATTCCTGTTTATCAAATGTATTGCTGGAATTATTGCAGGTGACCTTAGGGATTTCAACGCTTCTCTCATATGTCCCTGTTTCACTTGGCTCTGCGCATCAGGCTGGAGCTTTGACTCTTCTGACCTTTATGATCTTGCTCAATCACATTGTACGAAGGCCTTCAGCGTCTCTTCTTAAATCTCTCCCTCAAGTCGCAAAATCATTCTGATAGCTTCAGTTATAAGTTCAGAACTTATAAGTAGCAACAACATTGATTATTGGATACTCATAATATATTTTGACCTCCATTTTTCAAATTGGAATTTAATCCGATGCACTATTGAAAAGCAAAAAGCTTTTGTTGTGTTTCTTGTACTGGGAAAACTCATCCCTATTCTTTGTAATTTGAATGGTAATTGACATTTGAGGCTCTATGACTTACCCAAGTAATAGCTTCAACCACCCATTTCACTTGCAATAAAAGGTAACAGAAAATCCTGCCGTCATTTTGGTGTAACAGAAAATCCTGCCTTCATTTTGGTCTTGTGAAGAACTTTATGGTGAGGATACTTTCTGGGGAAATTGTTAAAAGTCAAAGTTTGTATTGTTGATGGCAACATGATGAACATGGAGCAGGGTCTAACTTTTACTTGACCTTTCTCATATCTTCCAGGATTTCGTGACATGTGAAAATAATTGTCTAGGGTTTGGGGTTCAATACAACAGTTGAACTATCTCACTACAGCAATATTCAATCTCCAACTATTTGGCTTGTGGTCGATGACCAGACATTAGATTGTCGAGAGGTCTTGTGTTTTAGTCTTACAAATAATCATCTACCACATAGACGACTTACTTGATTCATTGGGTTTGTAGAGTATTTAATAGATTGTTTTTCTGACTCATTAAGCTTGTAAAATATTTAATAGACTCAGAGATTAGTCAAAGTGTGTACGGGTTCAAATACCCGATAAAAGAAAAAAACAATATTCAATCTCTATCGATGTTGCATATGACTATTTATCAAATGCAGGGGAACGAAGACCAATCTAATAGCTACTAGAAAATCCCGCCTTCATTTTGGTCCAGTGAAGAATTTTATGGTGAGAATACTTTCTTGGGAAATTGTTAAAACTCAAAGTTTGTACTGTTGATGGCAACGTGATGAACATGGATCAGGGTCTAACTTTTACTTGACCTTTCTCAGATCTTCCAGGACTTACTGACATGTGAAACTAATACTATTAATAGGGTTTAGGGTTCGGTACAACAGTTGAACTATCTCACTGCAACAATATTCAATCTCCAACTACATCAGCCAGTAAGACATTAGGGGTGCATTTGTTTTGTTATTTTGGATAGGATTTTGAGAATAATATTGACTAATTGAATAGGGTGAGTATTACGAGGTAAAATCTAAAAATTAACAAAAAAACCCCATAGGTTTGCTAATTTAATTAAACACCTTAATATATAAAAATTTGTAAAATGACAAAACACCCCCACCCATCCATAGTGCTAGATTTCGACCACCACCGTCAGAATCTGGTCGGAAAATGGCGTTACAATGCAGACCGGTCGGATCTGGTCGGTCGTACGTCTATATGGTCTTTTTCGGTCAAATCCACCACGGATCTGGCTGAAAAAGGCCAAATCTACAGCCATATCTAGCCGCAAAAGGCCAGATTGACAGCCAGATCTGGCATTTTCCGACCAGATCCACTGTGAATCTGATCGGAAAAGGCCAGATCGACGAATTACCGGCAAATTTTGGTCGTTTCTACGCCGTTGTGATAGATTCCAGCAATCGCAAACGGTGGTTGTCGGAATCTGACAATTATAGGTGGGGGTGTTTTTGTTAATTTTTAAACTTTTTTCTAGGGGTGTTTAATTAAATTAATAAATTTAAGGGGTCTATAAGTAATTAAAAAAATAGAATAGTATTTCCCAAATAATTAAAAAAACATATATTTTGGGAATAAGATTAGGAATAGGATAGGGAATAATAAAACAAACACATCCTAGGTTATCCAGAGGTCTTGTATTTGAGTCTCACTAAATACCATATAAACGACTTATCTAATTCATTGAGCTTGTAAGTTGTTTAATGAACAATTTATCTGATTCACTGAACTTATAAGGTATTTAATAGACTTAAAAGATTAGTCGAAGTGCGTCTAAACAGCCAAACACCCGAAAAAGAAAATTATATTCAATCTCAAACGATGTCGCATTTGCCTATTTATCAAATGCAGGGAAACGAAGACCAGTCTAATAGCTACTACGTGTCTCAGCAACTGATCAACACACTGCAACAGTATGCCACGTGCATAACATCAGTACATCACAGCTCTCATCTAAACAACACGTCCCCCTTTACTTCCTATATACAACTTTTCCATCACCAAACCAGCAATGGAGTTTCAAACTCAATCTCGTCGTCGTCATCATCATCAAAACCGACACCACTTATCCAATACCTCCACCACCACCAAAATGGTTTCTGCGACGGTGGCCGGTGCAGCACTTGGTGGACCGTTACTGGGAGTCATGGGGTTCAGTTTCTTGGCAACACTAACCCTCGTTCTTGTAACCTCGCCTCTGTTGCTGATCTTCAGTCCTTTGTTGCTATGTGCTGCTTTTCTGCTCGCCGGGGCCCTGACTGGGTTCGCTCTGGCCGCGGCTATGGCGTTTGCCGGCTTGTGTGCGTTGTCATGGAGTTCTAAGGAAGTTGTAAAGTGTTTACAGTTTATTGGTGAGAGAGTGGAGGAGCATGGACGAGATTTTGGTGGCCATTTGCAGCAAATAGTTCATGATGATAACTCTCCTGAATTCGCTAGATTAATTCCAGTTGAATAAGTGTTCCAATGGTGCCTTTTGTTGGGGTTACACAAAATTTATATATATATAAAATACAATATTGTAGTATGATATTGACGTCCTACCATAAGTTATAGAGAAATCTTGCGTTTGGTTGAATATTTTTATCCATATTTCTAATCCAGTTTCTTAAATCTTGTTTGACACATTATTTTATAAATATTAGTATATTTTTTTAATTACTTTTAGATCCCTTAAGTTTATTAATTTCACTAAATACTCTAAAAAAAAGTTTAAAAATTAGTAAAAACACCCCCACCCACCATACTTGTCAGATTCTGGTAACCACCGTCGGTGATAGCCGAAATCTATCTCTATGGCTTACACCACGATCAGAACAGGCTAGTTATTCATCGATCTGACCTTCAGTGACGGCAAAAAAAATTGCCGTTGTTGATGGTCAACGACAGCCAAATCTTGGCCATCGTTGACCGAAAACGATGGTCATATCTTTGGCCGTCATTGACAGCCAAAGATAGACCTTTGCGGCTGTCGACGGCTATATTTGACCGTAGATCTGATCTGGCTAGAAAAGGCCATATCGACGTGTTAAGACACAATTTCGACCGGGCTGTGTCGTAACGCAGTTTTCCAGCTAGATTTCGGTGGTGGTGGCCAGAATCTGGCATTGCGGGTGTGGAGTTGTTTTTATCATTTTATATATTAGAGTATTTAATTAAATTAGTAAACCTAGGGGCTTTTTTATAAATTTTATCTCGTAATACTCCCTTATTCAACTACCCAATATTATTCCCAAAATCCTATCCAAAATAATGAATCAAACGCAATTAGTATAATTTTTTTCCGATGACCGTGGTGTCTAGGTTTCCTTACGCACATCTTAATTAATCTTTCGGAATTTTTTAGAATTCTAGAATAATCGACTAAATAAGAGTTCCAGTAGCTATCCCTATTAGCAATCGAGAAGAGAGATTCGAATTCAAGATTTTTTGAATAATACAACTAACGGTCCTTATCGAATCACTCGATCACTCAGAGGTAATAAAAAAAAAAATATTAAACATTGCATGTATGTCAAGTAGTTTTATAAGATTGTTGAAAATGCAAATTTTCTGATAACATATGTTATATTTGATAACAAAAAAAATGTATAGAAGATTTCCTTTCGTTAATATAATTTATTTTATTTATATGCAATGAAAAGTGCATTTTATATTATTTAATTTCGTATTAATATAAATTAAGTTATGTGTCATTCTCCACCTTTGTTGTTGGTGCTCTTATATGTGTACCATTTAAGTTCATATATATATTATCCACTTTGTAATTGATTTTATCCCCCAAATAATTTATAACCTAATTACTACTTATTTTAATAGATTTTGCCTTAGTCCTCTCTTGTGAGTGACGGTCGGCAACTTTGTGTGAGTTCTCGTTAATTAAATCTTAGTTTATTTGATCACTAAACTTCAAGATTAATTACTGTCACGACCTTATTCAGATCGGACGGTATTAAAGCTTTTAAAATAATTATTTGACTTATTCTTTGATGTTTCTAGTTCTGAGTCAAGTTTAGGTTAAGCCTTCAAAGTTGGACATCGGTCCAACTAATCGGATATCTCTAAAAGCTGAAAATCCCATATACCTAACTTATAATCTTCAAGAAGTGATGGTGCCTTTTTGTCTTGTGGAATTTATCTTTGCTTCTAGACATCATATTTGAATTATTCCATTATCTATAAGATGCTTAAAAGAAAATTGTGTTGGAATAATATATATTTGAATGATATATTTATATATTCTTATTCGATTGAGCTGTAAATTTATGACAAGAAATTATTTATATTACTAATAAGATGAAAAAGCTACAATAATTAATTAGTGATTTATAGTATTTATCTTCTTGGATGAAATCGTATAACAAATTAGTTTTATATGTTGTCACATATATATTGTGCCTTTTTTCTTTCATATTAAATCATTAACATAATTTATTAATAACCCAGTATTTATTATTTCTCGTATATAATAATAATACATTATTACAATGCAAAAATATTTTGATTAAAAAATAAACAAATAAAATAAAATAAAATAAAACAGGCCTCCTTTGTCTCTTTCTACATCTGTAACTCTACATTTTTTAACCTCAAAAATCATATCTTCATCCACGCATTTCAATAAAACATGCCAAGTACTTCACATTAATTTAAATTTTAATATAAACTTTAGAGAAATTAAATTAAAAAAAAAAACTAACTGGTACATAATTTTTCCCAACCCTATTCCTTATCCTATCCAAAATACACATTTATTTCCGTATTTTCAAAATATTATTCTATTTTATTCAATTCATTCAAACCCCTTAGGTTTGTATATTTAACTAAACACCCCCCAAATTTTTTTTTTAGAAATTGACAAAAATACCCTAGCAACCCACATTTGTCAGATTCCGGCCACCACCACTGAAAACTGACCGGACTCTAGTATAATGGCGCACTACCAACTGGATTTGATTAATAGTGTGTCAATTTAGCCTTTTCCAGCCAGATTCACAGCCAAATGGCCATATCTTTGATCGTAGCCAGTCATCAACGATGGCTAAGATATGACCATCGTTGACGACTAAATATGACCAGCTATGACCGTCAATGG